ACATTTTTTTTCCACAACTATGGAGGATCACCTAGTTTTACGGTTTGTTTCCCAGCAATTCTTTTCTAGTCCATCAGAAATTTGTTCAAATGACAGATGATATTCAACAATATCTTTCAAGTTTTATGTTTGAGCATATTCACACACACACACACTCTCTCTCTCTCTCTCTCTCTCTCTCTCTCTCTCTCTCTCTCTCTCTTTCTCTCTCTCTGCAAAGAAAAATTGAGTAATGCACATTGAGTCAATATGTCCTGATACCAAAGCTGAAATTAATTTCTGCTTGAAGTTTCCATAAACAATATGCCTAGACATTGATCCTCACTGGAACAAAACTTTCACAATTAAGAATAAATATTTGCAGGATGTGGGATATTTCTTCACATCATACAGTTACATAAATCTGAAATCAACAAATTTTTTTTTTGGGTCTTAGTTTGCAACATTTGGTGAAAATTTTGGATGTGCATGGATTTCTAGTTAGTTATTACCATATCATGATCTCCATTTGGTTTTCTTTTGGATTGCATGTTATTTTGGTGCATGCATTTCCATGTGTTACAACTCCCAAGCTTCCCAATATCCACGATGCAGAGCAAATTAAACAAACCTAAAGAGCATCTCTTTGGAGATGTCAAATATCAAATATTAAATTCGAATTGGATAGTTTATATGGCAATTTGACATATAATTTGACATTCCACCCGATATGTCAAATTAAAATATTATTTTATTACATATTGTTTATTGATTTATTACTTTCTAATTAAAAAGATATAATAAAAAATAAAATAACATCACAAAGTCAAACAATAAAAAATAATAGCGGGAAAGAGAAATGTTATTATGCGTAGGATTTAACATTTCGGTTGGAGTGAGTCTCAGTTATTTTTTCTACATGCTAAAAGTCACGTTGAATTTTACATCTCCATTGAACTCTCCAATCGATGTGTTAAAATGCCAAGTGGGGTTTTAACAATATAATCCAACCGAAGAGATAATGCTAACAAGGATTTGAAGGTTGGCATCTCAACGTTATCTTTTACAGCAACCAAAGTGAGTAACCGAAGAGATAATGCCGACAAGGATTTATTATTAATATTAAGTTTAGCCAACTCAATATTAATAATAAATATTACGTGGCAAACAATGGTCCTCCAAGTCTTGTGGATTGGATTTGTTCTGACCCTAGTTGCTGAATTGAATAAATTCTCATCTTGATAAACAAAAAGGAAGTATTCCAAAATGAGTTTGCCCGCTTAATTATTTGCATTTAAAATTGAACTATACTTCTTAATGAAACGTTCGTTAAGTACATTCGGGATATTTTCTAGTACGGTAGCAGCCATCATCAAGTAAAACTCTTCATCTTCTATTCTATTCAATTGTGTACTCGGAACAATGTATATATGCATGTGATGAAAATTACCGCACAAAGAGAGGAAAAATAAATTAATGTCTAATTAAATGACTATATTATGCGCGCACACACACACACACACAAAAAAGCTTCATTTTAACCTTAACTCACCCTCCTACCACTTGCTAATCCAGATAACTTTAAGATGGTTTAGTTTAGATTTGGAAGGAATATTATGATAGTAGGGACATTTCAATACAAGCCCAATTCTTGATGAAAATGTTTGTTATAGCCTATGAATTTGAATTGATGAATCCCCAACCCAATTTGCATTTATTACTTATTTTTTGACTATTTTTCCCTCGAAGGTAAATAATGGAAACAAATTAAAACTCCTTGATTTAAAGCATTGTCTCTCTTAATTAAGGGGGCTAATGTTGAGGTCCAAAAAAATTCAGAGTTGGGCTCAAATGAATTCATGGCCCAGTGCTACACCTCATTAAGAAAAGACCCGATTTGGAGCACGGAAAAGTTCGTCATTCACGCTCGCACGAGTTATGATTCACGTGTCATGCCAAATAAATATGCAATCCCGTCGAGCGTCATATCCCTCTTCAAAGCGATAAAATTCAAGCACTTCAAGCGACATGCAATGCCAAGTGAACAATTATTATTATTACACCTAGCCACGCTACAAGTTTAAATGGGCCCAAGCCACGCAAAATGTCAGGGGCTTACTTGAGTGGGTTGTGGTATGAATGGTAACGAGCTTTTATGAGGCCCATTGATGAGCTGAGAAATGGAAGTTTTGGGCTGCTTAGGAGCCCTTAGGAGTCCTAAAACTCAAGTCCATTTCTTGAACCCAAATATATGGGTAAACATAAAAGAGAGAAAAAAGCCCAATACCCTAGGAAAAATTAGCCCATCACGATAAATAAAATAGTCCATCATTTAAGCCCATTCCTTTGATAGGCTAACCAATCACTTTAGCAAAAGCCCAAGCAGCCAAGAAAATATCCATAGTCTCCAGCACTTAGCTAGAAACGTGAACCACGATGAAAGCCAAAGTGTTATGTCAGAGGCTTCAGCACATGGGCTAAGAATGAACACCAAGGTGGAACACGCAAAGAACCAGGGGATATTAGCGCACGTAGGTTGCTAAGAGATAAGGCACCCTTTGAACCAGTGTACATACCCACTTCTTCCCTCCCCCCACCCAATCAGATCTAGCCATGGAAGAGGGGAGAAAAGAAGGAAGAAAGATTGCTGAAAATGGGAGTTCCTCACTGGAACAGCTGCGGAAAAAGCCAAGAGCTCCCCATCCTGTTTTTGTGCAATTGAGCAGAGAGAATTTCACCAAATAAGATGAGTCAAAGGAAGAGAAGAAAAAGGAAGGGAAAGACTTGGCCAAATTGGATAGAAACTATTAGGGTTTCTTGGAAAGGAGGAGCTTTTAGTAGCTATAAATGAAGCACCTCCTACCCAACAACCAACACACACACATTCAGAGAGCATGCTACATCTCTCCTTCCTGAAACCTCTGCAATTTCGAGCCATATTCCTCCATCTCCTCCTCTTTTCTCTTATGTTAAAACATTCTAGAGCTTGACATATTTTTCTTCAAGTTGGCGGAAACTACTCAACACACCCATTATATCCCTATCTCTCTCCCTCTTCAACAAGCCCTCTTAGAATCCATTCCCCCTTTCCTTAGAACCTCTGTCTTTCATAAGAACTCACAGCTCTCTCTTTGTTTATGCTAAACTCATGATGGTTTTGCTCCCATGCCACAAGCTTCTCATGCCACGCTAAGAATTTACCTGTAAGCTGTTATTATTTTTGTTGGTGAAGGTAACCAGGTGTTTCCTAAGGTTTCACTACCCTTTCAAAGCATTCTTGGGGTCTGATCTTTGAACTCAGACTCATGGGGTAATTTCACCTGTTTCTCTTTTCGGCAGCCCAAACCCATTCGTCAGGCTGCTGAAATAAAAGACCCCTACAGACACTCTGATTGGTGGTGCGAAAAGCATGCATCAAAATTGTTATTTTAGTGTTTTCTTAAAGCATCTTGCTCATTGATTTTGTTGAGCACAACTAAGGACCAGTTTGGCATTGCTGTGCAGTGAAAATAATCGTTGTCAGATTTGCTGTGAGAGAAATCAACTGTGAGATAAAGCAGTTTGGCATTTGGTAAAATTTTTGTTAAAAGTGTTATTGGTATTGATTTTACGTATAATTAGAAAATAATTGCCGCATAATCATTAAACTCAGCGCCTCTTCGAAACTGATTCCTGCGTAATCAGAAAATGAAAGCACCTCATTAGCTGTTTTCCCTTATAACTTTCTCTCACAGCAATTTTTAACAATAAATGATTTTCTCACAATTTACCAAACGGATTGGGCTTCTCAAAATTTTAAAAAAATCACTTATCACCTCAAATTAGGGGTGGCATTTTAGACCGAAAAACTGAAAAACCGCAAAAACCAACCGACTATTTACCGCAATGAAACCGCGATCGCGGTAAACCGAACCGCATTTGCGGTATGAAGAACCGAACCGCATTTGCGGTATGAAGAACCGAACCGCATTTGCGGTATGAAGAACCGAACCGCATTTGCGGTATGAAGAACCGAACCGCATTTGCGGTATGAAGAACCGAACCGCATTTGCGGTTGCGGTATTTGATTTTCAAAACTTGCGGTTACCGCAAACCGCAAAGTATAGCTAATCTATGTTGTTTTATTTGATCTTCTTATAATAAAATATACTAAACTATGTTGTTTTATTTGTAGATAGTATTGGTGCTCAAACAACACAACAATGTTCTTCAAATCCACTCACCACCAACACTTGAGTTTGTAACATTGATGCATTGCATTTTTCTTTTAGTTTGTAACTTTAATTAACTTTGAATTATATTTTTCTTTTTAGTTGTAACTTTAATTCATTTTGCTTTGCATTTTCCTTTTGGTTTGTAACTTTAAAGGATTTGGAATTGGAATGCTTAAGAAGTTTAACTTTAATTGGAATGCTTGGAATTGTAACTTTAATTTTCTTTAGGTTGTGAATGCTTGAGAAGTTGAGGAGATTGTGAATTTATATATGCTTGAGAAGTTGAGGAGATTGTGAATTTATATATGCTTGAGAAGTTGAGGAGATTGTGAATTTATATATGCTTGAGAAGTTGAGGAGATTGTGAATTTATATATGCTTGAGAAGTTGAAGTTGTGTATTTATTTATTTAGGTTGTGAATTTATATTTTTGTGAATGCTTGAGAACTTGCGGTAGCGGTCGGTTTGCGGTTTCAAAAATCACAATACCGCAAATAGTCGGTCGGTTTGCGGTTTGGGCAAAAATTCGCGGTTACCGAACCGCAACCACCCCTACCTCAAATAAGCAATGCCAAACAAGCACTAAATGTCTAAACGATTTCTAATTTGTCTAATTTTTTTTTTAAAGGATGATCCATAAATGTAGACTTGAAAAATAGACAGTTCTAATCGTTTAAATAAAATTTGTATTGGGCTCCAACGAGTTTCCTTATTTGAGGGATCCCTCGATAGAAGAGGTGAGGACTGCATTTTAATGATCTTTTTATTTTACAAACAATTTATATTGATGAATTCTTATTCGTATATTTTTTTTCACTTATTTCATTGCACATGCATTTACATGGCAATGCTAATATTACAGAATAACAGAAATACATTTATTGTGAAAAAAATGCAAAAAATAATAAATTATTTGCTTGCACTAAAGCTAAGATGTGCAGCAGCTGTAATGAAATTTATGAGGCTTGAAAGAACATGCTGTTCACTCCTGCTCTGTATATCTGCAACTGAGATGCACTTGTTATGCTAATCTGAGTGTTAGCAGGTGCAAAGAGAACATCTCCTTCTGTAATTATATCTCCTTTAAGATCACTTGCATATATGATTCCCTCCCCAAAAGTGACCACAAAAATGGAAGGACCTGGGACTGCAGGGAACTCTGCTGATTCTCCCTGGGGAAGCTGACAGCAATCGACCTCAAATTCATCGAAAGGGGGTAGGTACCTTGTTACATAAGGACCTAAAGCAACTCCTTGCAGGATTTTAGGATAGCCCTGCAAAAGAAGAGATATCAAATAGTGATGTTTAACAAATCCTCATTAAGAATCATGCAAAGTTCCAAACTATGCCTAATCAGTGACTCATTTGACCTATCCTCCATTTACATTTCTGTAGCTTTGTATTTCGAATATTTTTCGCAATGCATTGATAGATATAGAATCTGACTTAGTAGTCTCCATGTGTATATCAAATGCAGTGAAATTTCAACCAAACAAGTAGAAGATCCAGTCAAGAAAGACTGCTGAATACTTTTACCTGCTTGTATGTGAGCATAGAACAAAGGGTGTTAACATCCATATGCTTAGGAGTTAGGCCAGCCCTCACTACATTGTCTGAGGTTGCCATACACTCAATGCACTCGCCGAAAATATAGGCATGAGGTTCATTCGCTCCAATATATAGTGCTTCTCCAGGCTTAAGATTCACATGGTTCAAAAAGAAGGCAGATATAACACCCACGTCAGCTGGATATTGCCTTTCCAACTGCAACACCAGCTGTTCCTTTTCTGTCAAGAGTCTCCCCTGACAAAAGAGTGAAATTAGTCATTGACAATTCTGAATGAACATAACAAGGTTTTTTTCCATCTGAATTACCAAATTTTTTACATAAAATAAAAAGACAAAAAACCATACAATCTAACATAAGAAATTTAATAGATCATAAACATGCAGTCAAATGTCTATTAATGCAAAGGTCCATTTGCTTTTAGATGTTAGAGTATATGCATCGATAAAAGTCCAATGACATGCCAAAGCACCTTGAAAATAAAATTGTCCTCCGGGCGAAGAGCTTTGAGAAAGAACTTGCCCTTGAAACCATAATTTGACAGTTATCATCTTGCCCTTAAAAATCATCAAATTACCTGACTTTCGATGCGTAAACGATTTTTCATTTTAGTGATTATTGTAGTTATCATCTCTTTGCTAGCTGACATGAGGTGGGTGAAAATTGAACGCAGAACAGACGTTACTTTATTCTCATCATCTCGATCAGTAATGTCAAAGACTTTGTTTGCATCTTCACTACCAACCAGTTCCTCAATCTCAGGAACATTATCAAGCACAACTTTAAGCTCCTGGATAGAAAATAGCAAATAGATCCGAGTAAATGACAGTGAGGACTAATAAGATTTGACATACAGAAAGATCTTACTTGCCATTAGTACCGAAAAACTTATAATTAAACTTGTCATTATGATTTAAATAGTACTAATGAAGGCACAATGTTCCACTGTTGGTCAATCCAGATATTTGGCAAGGCATAGTAGTAAGCTGTTATTGCCATGGAGATCTCTGCAGAGAAGGCAATATTTGTTTATATTATAGCTTTAGGAAAGAAAGACAATTAAGGGGAAAGAAAAAAGGTGTCTTAGGTAGAGTCTCTGAATAACAGAAAGTAACACTACACCTACCTTGACCTCAATTTTTAAATGTATAGTTCGAAGTTCAGATAAAAAACAACTTCCACCAATGATGACTATTAAAAGTAATTTTTTTTTTACTTTTTTGGTATTATATCAACTTCTGCCATAGTTCTCAGACAGGGATAGTACTATTTTTCTATCCCGGTCAATCACGATATGTACACGTGGCAGTTTGTGATGGGATAGAGATAACAAAATAGTGTTATTCTTATTTCATAAAAAAATTTCTGCAAATAATGGCAAACGATTCAGTTGGGCCCCAAACTTGGTTACAACCCAAATATTTAATGACCAAATTAAAACAAGAAAGAGAGCATGTAATCAGTCAAAATTAATGACTGTTTTAAAAAGACTCAGCAACCAAACAATTCAAAAGCAAACCCAGTTCTCAGTCACACACTATCTTATGATTCTTATCATTTACAAGATTAAATAACACAAATTGAACAGTAAATCAATTGAAATTTCCAATATAAGAACAAAACATGAAAACCAGCAGTGTCTTACCTCAAGACTGATGAAACCACAAAGAGCCTCAAAATGTGTAACAGCCAAGGCCATCTCAGGCTTGTGATTGGCATCCTTGTAAAGATTTGGCATAAACTTATGCAAAACCTTAGCCAATTCCTTATCTGGGTGTGCCTGTATTGACAATGCCTTTGCCACAGAAAGCACCTAAAAACACAAAACAAAAAACTCCACACTGTCCACAACCCCAACATTGAAAACCCAAAAAACTTTAGAATAAATATGACAAATGGAATCTTTCATATTGAGAAACAATAGTACCTTAAACAAGAAAGGCAAGTCAGAGCCCCATTTTTGAACCACCTTCTCACCAAGCACCTTTGGGTTTTCCAAAACCCAATCTTTGAGACTCAAACTCTCAGACCCAATTGACAAAAACCCATTATTCTCATCCCCATTTTGAATCAAAAAAGAAGGTCCAGACTCATGGGTTCCCATCCAAATTTCAGCATAAGGCTTTTCTGGGTCAATTTCAGAGGAAGAATTGAGAGCAGATAGCCTAGCCACCAGAGAGTCTGTGCCTCTCTTCCCCCAGTCATAGTTCTGAACAGAGCATCTCAGCCTCTGAAGACTGCTCTTTTGATTGTGGTGCTTCATTGATTTGCCAATGGACTCCATCAATGGCTAAGCAAGCTTAAAATGAAAATAAAAAAGAGAAAGGGCAAAAACAGAGTGTGCAATGAAGGCTATGGAAAATGAAGGGAATGAGAATGAGATGCGCATAACATGGTGGTCATGGGGAAGTTGCTGCTTTTGAAAGCGTTTGAAAGGGAACAGTAAGTTGTGAAAGAGGGAAATTACATTGAGAGAGAGAGAGACAGAACGAAAGGGAGAGTGATGACGAAGTTAAGAGAAAAAGATAGAGGAAAGTGGCAGTGGGGTCTTCCCTGTCCTGAGTCTGATGACTTTACCCATAAAATTCCGTTCCCATACTTTCTTATTCTTTCAATATTTTTCAGGGTTTTAACTGTCACTTGGTTGTTTTAGATCAAGGAATAAATGTTGTCTTTGGCTTTTGTCAATTGCATTTTTTTACGGCAAATATTGTTCTTTGCAATATAATATACAACAATAACACAGCCTAGCAGAGAAGTTTCCAAATTTAATCATCATTGGTAAGCACAGAAAAATCTTATCTTATAATCTGAAATAAATGAGATTCACAATGAATCGAAGTATTTATTTATGAATTTTTATATTAAGAAATAAACATTGTCACTTATGTGTTTTGGAAGGACAATGATAAGTTAGTTGGATTCAAATTTCTAGTATTTGATCAAGTATTTCTTGTTATAGTGGTATTTCTCCGTGAAGAGTTTTTAAATTTGAACCTTGATAAAATAATTAAAAAATAATTAGATTTTTGTTCTCGTATTTTAATACGTTATTTGTTTGTACCTAAGTGTATAATGTCTAAAATTTCGATTGTTTCTAAAAGAATTTCTTGTTTTTATTAAATAATTCATAATTCATGGTTATCAATACTAAAACATGGTAATGGCTCTTGTTATAGTAAAGAGTGACCTCGATATTTCCATTGGCATAGTGAAATGTTATTGACCTTGTAAGTAACTAAATGCCAATCCTATAGAAGAAGAAGAAAGCTAACGTCTTAAGATTGGTGCAGACGTGGGGTATGCCAGTCAGGCAGTGAGCTTGTCTCCTTTGCACCCAAATCGAATCTCTCTATCGGTAAATTCGATTAATTTAGAATAAATTATTATGACTTGTATTTAAAAAAAATTGTTCTTAAGATTGATACCAAAACATCAATGCCAAATAGATATACTCTTGAATCTACCTTCAATACAACAAATATAAAAAACTTTCTAATTAAGTCAATTTAAAAATATAAATAAATAAATAAAAGTCAAGTCAATTAGCCCCACTTGAATTTGCTGGCATGTTCTCTTAATCGTAGTCACAAGAAATTTATTGTCACGTGAATTGATAGAGAAATAATATTAAGAGGTTGGTAAGTGAAAAAGGGGTGGGTAGAAAGCCACGTTAGATACGGTGACGTATCGTGAGTTGGACTTTTGGCAAGAAGAAGAATCGACCACAGACGAGAAACAAACGGACAAAACAAAGGCTTTGCATTTCTCGCAGATACGATGCGAATGGAATAACGCCGTTATTGACGCCAATCGTCGGTGGACGTGTTCTGTGACTATGGGTGGGCCCCACGCAATTCAAGTACGAAAAAGGATCGGCAACCGTATCGTTACACGTGGCATTTGGATATCCATTGTAATAAATTAACGTTTGACTTATTCCTATACGCCACTTTTTGAGTTTTCAAGATTTTTTAAAAAGGAAAACGTGATCTCTGTCATGTATCGTCACGTGGTGAGCTTTCACGTTCCTACGTTTCTCTCCTAAAATTTATCGCTGTTAAAGCAGTTGGGCACTTTTGGGTTTTTATTATTTTCTTTTTCGGGTCTTTCCTTTTAGGTAAAGAGCACGACTCCTGTTACTGCGTTTTGAACCGAATGGCGTGCATGAACCTGATAGCTTCTACAAATTACAAACTTTTTTTTTAAGAACTTGTAGATATACCAAAACAATTTTACTTTTTTTTCAAAGTGACCGTTCATTAGGAATAGGAAGCATTATAAAAGTGGGAAAGCCCAAGCAAAGCAGCACATCCCAACAATTAGAACAAATGGGCCCAACACAAAGATACAACATAGAATTTTAACAAGTTGAGGCTCAAGTGTTGTAGATCATAGACTATCATGGCCCGATTCGAAAATAAGAATAATTCTCGAATCAGGTGTGTAAATTGAATGAAAAATAAAATAAAAAGATTGAAAAATTGGTTAAAATACATTTCTCTTATAATAATAATAATCTTACAAGTATACAAGATATGAATAAAACTTTATTCGTCTCAACTAATCCAACTTCTCTGATTTAGTCTTTGTCTTGCCCACTAATTGATTTGAAAAACAAAATAGATGAGGGATGAGCAAAGCATCGCTTAGTGAATAGATTATGTAATATGCCAACAATGTCATTTTACACACTCTATAAAATATAATAAAAAGATACACAAACCAAATCATATCACATCATTACTTCAAATCTTGATTATCCTTCAAAAATTGTACCCAGCACGTGACCCATATTGGCCTCACTACCCTATGTCCCCGTCTGTTACATTTACCTTCGATACCCCGTCACTAAAGTTCTCATGTTCCATGAATAGTATGTAATTCACAAAAACTCTAAATATATATATATATATTGTGTGAAATATTGCACAAATTAGACATGCTTGACGTGAAAATAGAGAGAGATTTGTAAATAGAATAAATCCATGATTTTCACATTTATCACAAAATAAGAAATTTTAGAACACATTACATAACTCACTCACCATGATAATTATAATTCAAAAATCTTGCAAGACAATCTCACACGTTCTCTATCTTGTTTCTTCATGATGACTTGACGTCATCCTCACCTTCCTCCGGCTTATCACAGGCAGTCTACTCAAGCTTCTAAACTCAACGGTGGCAACTAAACATGAGGGTTGCGCTCGTTGCGGGACTTAACCCAACACCTTACGGCACGAGCTGACGACAGCCATGCACCACATGTGTCCACCTTCCCGAACACCCCTCTCTTTCAAGAGGATTCGCGGCATGTCAAGCCCTAGTAAGGAGACAAAGGCATAAAAACAATATAGAATTTTCGGTACGAAACGTTTTTCATGGATTCATCGGTTCATTGTTATTAAAAAAAAAAAAAAATCTCGTAAAAGCTTCTTCTTCTTCTTCTTCTTCTTCTTCTTCTTCTTCTTCTTCTTCTTCTTCTTCTTCTTCTTCTTCTTCTTCTTCTTCTTCTTCTTCTTCTTCTTCTTCTTCTTCTTCTTCTTCTTCTTCTTCTTCTTCTTCTTCTTCTTCTTCTTCTTCTTCTTCTTCTTCTTCTTCTTCTTCTTCTTCTTCTTCTTCTTCT